ATCTCCAACAGCTAATGTGTATAAGATCTCCTCTCCCAGTATGTATCCCATGTGGCTGGTGTGATGCCTGGTGAGCATTACAAAGGGTTCAAAGTGTGCCTCTGGATATTTAGTGAAATTGGATGTTGCATGCAAACTGTAGAACAAACGCTACTAATATGATCAGTAAGTGCATACATTTTAGTTGACTGTGCTCCTGAACGAAAACAGTTGTTGAATCTAAAGAAAGATTCAGCTGACATTTCATGCAGATCCTGTCATTCTCACACCACAACCTGTGGGAGAGTGAATGGGAGACCTCTTTTCGTAAGGTGCCATTACCAACCATTGTCAGCCTGCGGCAAGAAGAAAACTTAGGCTTTTGTACTTTATATCCCAAACAATCCCGCGTTCGCCAATCAAAATATGTGAACATTGTGTTAAAAATCAAAATTACAAATAAATGTTGCTGCTGGTGACTGTCATGTATTTCCACATCAGTAATATATGATACCATAAAGTGCTGCGCTAACAAATGAATCTATAAATATGCAATAATACCATACATAAAGCATAAACATGCAAAAGGTAAATATACTTAACATAAAATATATTCAATGTTATGGAGAAAACTCAATGCATGTTAAAACCTAAACAACCCCCAGGGAGGCAGCTGGGAGAGGCCCAACACCAAACAATAAGACCAGATCCTATAGGGTGCCACAAAATATAAACCATAAAATAAATAATTAAAACTGTTAAAAAAAAAAAAAAAACATATCATCAGTTTTAGGTCTTTATATTACTGTTTATATCTTGTAGCGCCCTATGAGATCTATGCGTATGTTTTGGTGCTGGGCTACTCCCTCCTGCCTCCCTGGGGGGGATTCTTTTGTGGAATGCACTGCCTTCCTTGGTTTTAACATGTATCTACAGAACATAGTCTCCTTACTGAAAAATTTGATGTAACTTACCGTACAGGTTTAATACAAAATGGTGTAAATACTTCACTTATAGATCCTGTTATAGGATATCAAATGGCATTTGGTTGATGTAATTTATCTTCTCCTTTACCTTGAACAGTAAAGTCCATCTGGTTTGCCCTGAAGAGGACCAAGCCTCAAAACACGTTGGGTATTTGGGCAGAAGTCTGTTTTACACATTTATGTTACATCATCAATCACGATTTGAGAGATTGTAGATCAGAAAATGTACCATGGTTAAGATTTATATTTTTTGTTAACTTTGTGTTTTGTGGGATACACTTCCAAAGCTATGGCTGATATTGTGGATTTTTAGCTGTATAGTTGTAAACAATAAAGTTTGTAAGGATTTTTACCCCCCCCCCCCCCTTTTCTGTTTATTTGTGCTCCCCAAAATATCCCCACCACCTGCACTTTCCAGTTTGTATATCAGGGTTCAGGCCACAGTTTTATTCACTCAATATATCTGAAGAGATTAGGGCACACTAAGGGTCGTGTCAGAGCTCTAGGCCGAGAGGGCACCCTGCCGTTGCCTAACACAGCACACAGAGGTCTGGAGAGCACTATGATGCAGAGCTTCATGAAAAAAGTCACACACCAGAGTAGCCTGCAAAATACTAGTGCAGTGATGTGCAGGTAGGAATTTGAAAGCTAAACCGAGGAAATTCCCAAGTTTATCTTTGTTACAACCATAGGCTGACTGTCAGAGTGATTCTGCAGAAATTGGGTTACATCAGAAGCTGTGTTAAAGCTCTGGACCAGGAGATCCCTCTGCGGCTAACACAATACAGTAAGGTTTACAAAGAACCATAGGCAAGTGCCCAAGTCACATTCCAGGCTAGCCCCACATTTTTAAGTTTTGTGGAATCCAGCCTCCAAAGCTATTGCTGAGGATATGCCAATCCAGATGCTATAAAGAAAACCAGCTAAAACAGCATATTGGAGGTCTTGATTGAAGATACTGAAGAAAAATATCCACAGGGTAACAAATACCTTGACTGATGAGAAAAAACGGAGACATAAGCAGATTACTTTTATGCGATTACAGTGAAAGAAAAAAAATCTGAGGATTGTGCTGTGCTGGATACTTGCTTTGCATACTGTTTTTTATTTTGCCAGTATCCAAACATCAAGGAGGCAGCAGTATAACCCACATCATAGACAATTTTACAATATTGTGTCCCTCCATGGAGGATAAGGAAAATGTCCTGCTAGAGAAAACCTGAGGTAAGCAAGTCAAGGAGTGGTTAACTTGAAGACACAATGCTGAGAAACACTTACTTCACCCACCTTTCTCCAAGTTAGCAGTGGAAGGAGCAGCAATTGGTATTCAATAAACCTTCTCAGGTTCCTCAAGGAAATGTATTTGGTCTCTTTGAGAAAATACATAAATATACAAGGTGCATCTAGCTTTTAAACACTTCATAACCAATGGATTTATTTATTTTGGTATGATCACTAGCCCATTAAGCAGAATTTGTGTTACATCCAGTTCTTTAGTTAGCAACGGTAGCATGTTCAAAGGGTAGTGCAAATAAGTCTTTGTTTCACAGAAAATATTCTTCATTAAAACTGAACACCTGGCAAACAGCACGCACGCACGCACTATATATATGTGAGATTTAAATAGCACTGCCTTGCAGGGCAGAAAACCTGTTTTTTTTCTATGCTTCAGTTCAGGTCTTGTCCCTTCCCCATTCTCTGACTCTGCAGTGAATGGATACACAGCAGGGTAATGACTCTGTCTCTATGCACCTATCAGCTTGTTTCATGTTGGCAGATGAGCACTACTAAATGGCCCCCTGTGATGCTTCTACCTCACCCTATCTGTGCTTTGCTGTACAGGGTCTGCAGGAGGCCAATAGCAAGAAACGTAAAGTGGAACAATACTCATCTCAGCTCCAGCGATGCTGTGTCATTGAGCTCCCTGCTCAGCCACTGACATCTTTGGGAGGCCGGCTTCCAGGTCTTGATCACTGTCCGCTGTCGTTGGCCAGGTGGGGATGATATCACTGCAGCACTTGCGCGGGAGTTGATCAGATTCAGCATTGCTGAACTTGTACAGTGAGCTGCGCATGCACAAGGGCAGACAGGCAGGTAAGTAGCTTTAATGCAGAAGAGAAAGCATGTCTCTTCTGCATTAAAATCCTGTCTGTTAATCTTAATTCCTTAGCCTAAAGTTCCACTTTAAACTGCTTGAATTTAAAAAGACATACATTTAATGATGTACAGTGGATATATAAAATCTACACACCCGTTAAAATGGGGGGTCAGGTTTCTGTGATGTAAAAAAAAATGAGGCAAAGCTAAATCATTTGAGAACTTTTTCCACCTTTAATGTGGCCTATAAACTGTACAACTCAATTAAAAAAACAAACTGAAATTTTTTAGGGGGGAGAGTAAACAAAGTAAAACAATGTCACTGCTTAAGCGTGCACACCCTCTTATAACTGGGGAAGTAGCTGTGTTCAGAATTAAGCAATCACATTCAAAATCATGTTAAATAGGAGTCAGTACACACCTGCCATCATTTAAAGTGCCTCTGATTAACCCCAAATAAAGGTCAGCTGTTCTAGTAGGTCTTATCTGGCATCCGACAGCAAAAGCCATGGTCCGCAGAGAGCTTCCAAAGCATCAGAGGTTAAAAGGTAACATTGTTAAAAGGTATCAGTCAGGAGAAGGGTACAAAAAAATTTCCAAGGTGTTAGATACACCATGGAACACAATGAAGACATTCATCATCAAGTGGATAAAATATGGCGCAACAGTGACATTACCAAGAACTGGAGGTCCCTCCAAAATTGATGAAAAGATGAGAAAAAAACTGGTCTGGGAGGCTGCCAAAAGGCCTACAGCAACATTGAAGGAGCTTCAGGAATATCTGGCAAGCACTGGCTGTGTGATACATGTAACAACAATCTCCCGTATTCTTCATATGTCTGGGCTATGGGATAGAATGGCAAAACAGAAGCCTTTTCTTACGAAGAAAAACATCCAAGCCCGGCTAAGTCTGAAGTCTCCCAAAAGCACGTGGGAAAATGTGTTATGGTCTGATGAAACCAAGGTTGAACATTTTGGCCATAATTCCAAAAGATAGATTTGGTGCAAAAACAACACTGCACATCACCAAAAGAACACCATACCCACAGTGAAGCATTTTGGTGGCAACATCATGCTTTGGGGCTGTTTTTCTTCAGCTGGAACTGGGGCCTTAGTCAATGTAGAGGGAATTATGTTCCAAATACCAGTCAATATTGGCACAAAACCTTCAGGCTTCTGCTAGAAAGCTGAACATGAAGAAAGACTTTATCTTTCAGCATGACAACGACAGATTTGGAGTGTTTTTGCAAGTAAGAGTGGGTAAACATTGCCATGTCAAGATGTGCCATGCTGATAGTCTCATACCCTAAAAGACTGAGTGCTGGAATAAAATCAAAGGTGCTTCAACACAGTATTAGTTAAGGGTATGCACACTTATGCAACCATATTATTTTAGTTTTTTAGTTTTACTTCCCTCCACCTAAAAGATTTCAATCTGTTGTTCAACTGAGTTGTGCAGTTTATAGGTTACATTAAAAGGTGAAAAAAGTTCTGAAATTATTTATCTTTGTCTCATATTTTTACATCACAGAAACCTGACATTTTAACAGGGGCATATAGACTTTTTATATCCACTGTATTATTAAATATAGAACTGCATCAATGTGTGTATTTTATATCTTCCTGGAGTTCAGCTTTAATTTAGTAGTCAGGTTTGTTCACATTAAATAAATACAATATGCACAAGATTAGAGATTTTTTAAAGTGTGCGTTAGATGCAACAAGAACTATGCATGCTTCACAAAAGAGAAAGAAATTATGTGATAGTAGCTTTTGATTTAAACACTAAAAATCACTAGTAAAACTACATAATAATAAGGTAGCATAACTGCATAAACTACCTAGAGCAAGTAAAAATATCTTCTTTGTTGAGACAATGGCCCCAGTTTTCCAGAATACTGCACAATTCCAAAAGTCCATTCAAGTGGAAGTTCAGTGTTAAAATGTCATTAGTACATCACGCTCCTGCATACTTGTGTGAAAAGGTTTCCCAAAAATAAACGAGTGAAGTCCTGGTTTGATCTTTTCAGCTAAAGCCATAATTATGTTGAGATCGCCCTCTGCTGTCAGATCCAGATCAGTTTTCAAACTGCGCAGAGATTTGAACACTTTCTTCCCCTTTTGTCTAGAAAAAAAACAAAACAGAAAAATACACATCAGAACACGACCTAACAAAATAGGAGCTAGGGCCTTGAGACATTTATGTTTTTAGCACTGCACCAAAGGTGTTCCATTAAAAAAGACCTACACAATGTCAACATATATGACATTTTCTGTTAGGGTTGTCCCAATGTTATTTACAGCAATTATATATGCACATGACATTTTTAAAAATATAAGTAAAAAATATCATATTTCATAAGGGGTTTTAAGCATTAACATTTTTTTTTTTACAATACATATTTATTAAAGAAATCGATATTGCACTGGATGCATATCAGTCTGCTGGTCAGTAAAGTACCACCTTGCCATGTCTACATATTATTTATCAGTTACAAAGAGGCAAGCAATCTTTTAAGATGCTCACCAGCCATATACACTTTGGCAGGACACCTTTTTTAATTTTGCACATTCTCTACTATCACTTTTAGTATCTACTGTGTTCCTCCTCTGCAGTGCACATCCTGGCTTCAGAGAGAGTGAATATCCAATCAAGCTGTCTCTCTCCAACGAAACACTATGGTAGCATACACATTGCAAGTACATGAGAAATTCCTGTGGCATCTCTGGATTCCCTATGAGCTCAGATGGTCACCTTGTAGCATAGAAAAGCTGATCCAGATCTGCCTTGCCCACTCCTACACCAAAAATACCACTGCAATAATAATGTATTGTTTACTGATATCAGGGAACTATAGATCATTACTACAAATTACAGTAAATTTTGCTAAAGAGAAGCATGAAAAAAATAACAAAAACCACAAATATAAATAAAAAACAATTGCACCCATTTAACCCTTCCGATGTCCATGCAAAAATTAGCAGAATCTATGTGCTTTAGGTTGCTTAACTTTGTTTGATCAATTAGACTACCTAAAAAAAATTAGTTTTTTTTACAGGTACACAATGTTTATTTGGTACAGTTTTTTTTTTAACTCTTTACTTATAGATTCATCTCCGGGATACACAGTTTGACAAGAATCAGCATGGTATATGATAAATTAACAAGAAATATCCTACTAGACATGCAACTGGAAGCTAAAGTTAGATATTCCAGAAATCGGAAAGTGCAGGTTGTTTTGATGAGGCCTCCCAGATTAGATATTGTAACATATTGTACATTAAAGTTGTTGTATACACCTACATCAGCGGTTCTCAACCTGGGGGTCGAACGACCATTTCACAGGGGTCGCCTAAGACCATCGGAAAACACATATTTCCGATGGTCTTAGGAACCGAGACACCGCTCCTGTCTCAGGCGATCTGCGGGCGGGATGATATGCTGCCCCTGTAACCTGGCCACACCTCCGGGATCACTCAACAGCTCCGCCTCCTCGCCGCTGATTGGCCACCGGAACTGTAGCTCAGGAGAGGCACACAGGTGGCCAATTACCGACGAGGAGGTGGAGCTTGGAGAGGAGGAGCCGAGCAGCAGCGCGCGGAGATCGAAGAAGATCGAGGGAGCTGCAGGAGCGAGTGAAGAGAGAGGCCAGAGAAGGAAGACAGCTGACAGGTAAGTGCAAATTTTGCTGCTTCAGCCAGGTATGCTGCCTGTAGATGGGAGAGGGAGAGAGCGAGCCCAGGCTGGAGCAGGAGTCAGCAAGGTAAGTATCATTGGTGTCAGTGGAAGGGATAGTGCCCCATCATTTGTGTCACTAATACCAACGATGGGGCACTATTCCTCCCCCCACTGACACCAACGATGGGGCACTATTCCTCCCCCCACTGACACCAACGATGGGGCACTATTCCTCCCCCCACCAACGATGGGGCACTATTCCTCCCACTGACACCAACGATGGGGCACTATTCCTCCCCCCACTGACACCAACGATGGGGCACTATTCCTCCCACTGACACCAACGATGGGGCACTATTCCTCCCCACTGACACCAATGATGGGGCACTATTCCTCCCACTGATACCAATGATGGGGCACTATTCCTCCCACTGACACCAATGATGGGGCACTATTCCTCCCACTGACACCAATGATGGGGCACTATTCCTCCCAATGACACCCACATGGGGCACTATTCCTCCCACTGACACCCACGATGGGGCACTATTCCTCCCACTGACACCAACGATGGGGCACTATTCCTCCCACTGACACCACGATGGGGCACTATTCCTCCCACTGACACCCATGATGGGGCACTATTCCTCCCACTGACACCCAACGATGGGGCACTATTCCTCCCACTGACACCCACGATGGGGCACTATTCCTCCCACTGACACCCACGATGGGGCACTATTCCTCCCACTGACACCCACGATGGGGCACTATTCCTCCCACTGACACCCACGATGGGGCACTATTCCTCCCACTGACACCCACGATGGGGCACTATTCCTCCCACTGACACCACGATGGGGCACTATTCCTCCCACTGACACCAATGATGGGGCACTATTCCTCCCACTGACACCAATGATGGGGCACTATTCCTCCCACTGACGCCAATGATGGGGCACTATTCCCCCCACTGACGCCAATGATGGGGCACTATTCCTCCCACTGACGCCAATGATGGGGCACTATTCCTCCCACTGACACCAATGATGGGGCACTATTCCTCCCACTGACACCAATGATGGGGCACTATTCCTCCCACTGATACCAATGATGGGGCACTATTCCTCCCACTGATACCAATGATGGGGCACTATTCCTCCCACTGATACCAACGATGGGGCACTATTCCTCCCACTGACACCAATGATGGGGCACTATTCCTCCCACTGATACCAACGATGGGGCACTATTCCTCCCACTGACACCAATGATGGAGCACTATTCATCCCACTGATACCAACGATGGGGCACTATTCATCCCACTGATACCAACGATGGGACACTATTCATCCCACTGACATCAGTGATGGGGCGCTAGTCCTCCCACTGCAAAATTACAGTTATGAAGTAGCAACAAAAATAATTTTTATGGTTGGGGGTCACCACAACATGAGGAACTGTATTAAGGGGTCGCGGCATTAGAAAGGTTGAGAACCACTGACCTACATATACCCAGTGAAGTGACTGGCCTCAGGTGATACACAGAGATGAAACAAATCATCCCACATAAATTGTGCCCGTTTATCTGCAGTCTTCTCTTATCTACATCCAAAGAGCAGAATTTACATAGGATCTCTCAGCCTTGAAAAGCAGGGGCAGGGAAAGTTACATTCAGCGAGGAGAGCTCTGAGAGCTGATTGGAAGGAAGGAAAACAACCCCCTTCACACAGCAAACAGGAACAGATCTGAGGCTGTCAATGAGCTGGAGCTCCATCCAAGATCACCATTTTTCCCTTGGTGTCAGGGAAACTCGTCATAAGAGAGTTATGCTGATAGCAGATGAAAGAGCCAACAGACAGAAATGACACTTAGTGCTCTGGATTGAGATAAGTACACGCTGCAGAGGAATATGTTTTGTTTTAATTTCATGTCTAACGTTTACAACCACTTTTATTAGAGTACCAGTGACAACTGCACTTAACATAAGGCTTAGTATGAGTCAGGGGCATGACTGAAGAGAAAGACTAAACTAGTTCAAACAGTTTCTTGCAGGAGGGATTTTCCATCAATCACGTAAATTCGTCAGAGAAAACCAGCTTATATATACTACAGTATTATAGAGGAGTATGGAGAAAAAGCTACCAAGGAAAAAGGGGGTAGGGAAAAGTGGTGTTAAGGAGCAGCTAAAAAAAAAATGGAGGGAAGGGAAGAAGGGGAGGGGAATGGGAGGAGTGGTAGGGTACTAGGTGTGGCACATAGTTTTAAAAAATACCCTGTTAAGATGTTTTATAATAAAATTGACAAAAAAATACTTCTTAATTTTACTAGGAGCTAATAAAATCTATTTAATACTTGTCAAATTAATGTATTTTGTATTTTCTTTAATAACCTGAGCAGCCAACTGCTTCTGACAAAGTGCTTCCATCTCTCTGTGGGGACAATTCACAAAGCGCTATCTTACCGCATCCAAGTACTGTATGTGGCAAGGTACTGCACAAAAGTTTGTGGTCATTCACTAAAAAACGCTACTAAAATAGCGCATGAGTTATTTTATGAAGTCATGCAGTATTTTGGTAGTGAAAACATGCGGTAATGTAACTAGTCATCAGTTGTCAGCGAGTTCCCCGCTGACAGCTGAATGTAAAAAGAAAAAAAAATTGCCAGCAATTAAAAATTAAGAAAAAAAAAATGGCGTGGGGTTCCCCAGGCTCCACCAATCCGTACCACGCCCATGTTGATGGGGACAAGGGCAAGGGCTTTACCAAAGGGGGCCCCCAGATCTCACCCCCCCCCCCCATGTGAATGAGTATGGGGTACATGGTTTTCTCAGTTGTATATATTTTTTTCCTAATTACAATTTATAAATTAAAAACAAACATTCAATGACCTCACCAAACTCTGAAAAAGGCTGTGGAAGTCTTCCTAAATTTTGCCTTTGATGATGTTTGATAGAGATAAAACTTCTGTCAACTGTTAATTGCTATCTGAGTAACCCATTTGAAACATTTTTGCTTAGTTCTATATGACAAGCATCAGAGAGGCTAGAACGTAAGGGAGAGACTTCTACCTTCCTGTGTAGTTTTAGAATTGGAAAGGAAGGGAAATCCTGCATTGGGGACACAAGCAGAAATTAAATGCAAATTCCAGCCAACTATGGAAGGTTTAGAAATTCTGTCAGTATTTTTCCCCCCCCCCGTCTCCTTTTTAAGATTTCTCTTCACTTGTCCAGAACCATAAAAGAAATCAGATAACGACAGCATTTAAAATGACACTTACATTCTTTAGCCCTCTTCTCCAGACGCCTGCAATTGTGCCTGCATTTTAACAGCCTTCCACCCAGTGGAAATTTGGGGCATTGATAAGATCACAACCAGTCCCTACGGTCTTTGACTATGGCCCAGCCCCTACTACATCTCATACCTCACTATTGGTTGGTGAGGCTGCCCGTCAAAGTGATGAACCATACACTATACAATTACTGGCATCATTATTATAGTAACAATAACACACACATGGAAAAAACTTACGTGTCATCTTCAATGTATTTTATTAGAGTAAGAGCTTTTCTATGAAGTATTAGCAAAAACTGTGCCAGAAATGTGCTTCTTAGAGATAGGTTTGGTTTCAAATGGAATACCTAGAAAATAAAGAGTGATTCTCCAGGTGAAATGCCTCTTTAACCATTTCAACTAATCAGGCAAAGATATCGAATATGTCTTTCTACACTAAAATCATACTAATAAATTAATTTTGTCATGAATCCAGACTATCACAATTGCAGAACTAAAGCTAATTAATAGGAAAAAAATAACTGCGAGCAGGCAGTTCTTTATTGCAAAAGAGACATGCAATATCTCGTTTGCAATACCAAACATGCAGTCTTCTATTGTATGTGCATCTCAGCAAGCATTCTCGATGAATGATGGCTCCCAATTACATGCGTAGGAAGACGTCATTCCGTCACTGGCCAATCAAGCGAAAACCTGGTACACGGAAATAGCCTGGGAGAAAATAATAAAGGCTGGCAAGAGTGAGGAGTGAGTAATTCTCTCAATGTAGTTCTGCTTTAAATGAATGGTGGAATTCAGACAGAAAAGTGGACTAAATATAATGTAGGCATGGATGAAAGTTAAAACAACCATGTCACAAACATGAAATGAAATGATGGAAAACCAGTTCTCTGTAAAAGGAAATATTCACCTTTCCTGCAGTACGTCCTGCTGAATACCACTCTGTTGAAGAGGAGGAACCATCCACTGAGAAACCAACGCTAGTGGGAATGTCAATCACAGTGATGAGGAGGTCAATGGGAAGAACCACTGTGCTCTCTGGGGGACCATGAGATCAACCGCACCACTGAGCGCAGTGGGCGACCAGGAAATCAATGCTCCTGGAAAAGTCAGTTCTCAGCAGACTTCTATGGACAATTTCTTTTTAATAATAGTATAGTTTGATGTCACAGGCAGTGGGGATAGGTGAATATTTACCATTTTCTTTTATGAGGAAAAGATTTTTGCAATTTCATTTTCGGGACAGGGATGATTAAACTCATAAAATGCATTGGAAATAACATTGGTAAAGAAAAGCCCATGACAACATTCAGTTTGAGAAGATAAATTAAATGAATTTTAATAACAGAAAGAGCTTTGGAGATAAAAGGAAGCTCTCTAGAATATACTAGTGAACTGCACAGAATAAAAGCATACCCAGTGATGCATTTTATTTATGAGGCACTGGAAACCAGCAAAAGAATAGGCTGCATTCTCATGTTAAAACAGCACAGATTAGACATATTAAGGAATTATTAAACTAGAGCACCAAAACCTCAAATAATCTTTAACATGTTAATGTGATTTTCTGCAGTTTTAATTAAGCTACCTTACGATTCTGCCATGAAGGTCCTTGTTTAGACACTTCTTAATATAGGATAACAATGCTCCATTCCTATCTCCTGTTTGAGCTCCTGTTTTCACCCTGTCACATGTGCTTCTGATGGAAACTACAAGTGGCCATTTTCAGCAAATGCTACGCAAACATGGTCCACTGTTGTCATCATCAGGAATACAGCCGTGAGAAAAGTCATTGCTGGACAGTATATACAAGAATTGGCTGCAAAAAGAGTTACAACACATTTTTATAGGCAATAGATATGATACACAATATTTTAGCAAACTAAATATTCAGTTAGGTTTTTAACTTGGCAAACAGAATATGCCATTTATTTTCAAGCTTTTCCTAGAAGTGGGTAACATCACCCCAGGTTCACATCTATAGTTTGTACTACAGCAAAAACACACATTAATTTGCACTGCACCAAGAGAGAGGACTGTGTTATACTGTATAAATAATTGGCATTACGAAACTCCCCCACTTTCCAAACAGAGGTTTCTTATAAATATTACCTGCTCTAAGAAGTTTCTGACAAATGTGTCTCTGTGTAGGATGTCTTGGAAAATATTCCTGGATAAAGAAAAAAGTATTTAAAATGATTTCTAGAATGCATACATTCAGATCAAAGCCCATTTATGGTCTCTAAAATTAAGCCGATTCAGGTAAATTGGTATTAATGCAGAGCAGCTTCAAGATAGGATGTGCTGGCAGATTGTTTTGAGTTGGATTAATGTTGCTTTTACTTCAGTGGTGCTACCTGAGTGCAGCCTGTCATTTCTTGGATATTCACTGGCCATTTATGGAGAGATTTCAAAATAAAATGAGACCAGGCTTAACAATCCCTGATGGGCAGCTCATCATGGCAACTGAAGAAAAAAAAACTCTCTGGAACAGGGGGCATTGCTTGGTGCCTCTGGTTCCAAAGCTACTGCTCATGTTTCTCTACTGCCTAGGGATGGAGCAGGAGTGAGTACTTGGTAGGAAGGAATGCTCCAAGAGAACTCCACAGGGAGGGTCAGCCTGTGTGTGTGGCTGAGAGGTTCCAGTTCCCGCACAACTATGGAGCTGCGGGCACTGTGTGTGAGCCTCTTCCCCGGGCGCTGCCCTTTATGGATTATTGTGATATGGACAGGGACCTCTTGCAGGAATTGGTAAGGCTGGAACCTAGGTGGTACAGTACATGTGCCAGAATTACGTCCAAATGAGGCATTTGGAGGCTTGTAAAAAACTGCAGGACCAGAGAAGAAATCAGAGAATATGCTGTGGAGCCGGAAGAAACAGAGAAAATGCAGAGACCTTAAATTAAGGGGTCACAAAATGCAGAGAGACCTTAAATTAAGGGTTCACAAAGATTTGAGGAGTGTGAAGTGGCACTGTGAGATTTACAAGCACTGGTGGTTTTCCTAGGGCCCCTTTCACATGGATGATACGTTCGGGTCCAGCTGCCCATTTTTAAGGTGGACCTGATTGGAACCTTTATTCTACCCTATGGAGTGGCGGGTGTAAGTGGACATGTGTCCGTTTACACCCACCGACATCCAATCTGACTCACCAAAAAGACAGATGGGGATCCATTCCCCTTCCATCCATTGGGTTGGGTGGCAGTCAGATTGCAATGGACAGGCAGTCCGTTTCTATACGACCGCCCTTAGAAGACCGTGGGCTGCATAAGTAGAGCGGACATGGACCTGTCATCCACTTGCTCAGCAGACAGATCTCCCGCTGAGCAAGCGGATCCGCTGATGGGTCCACTCCATGTGACAGGGCCCTTACACATCAAATGTGTATATGGAACAAGATACACGTGAATCAAAGTTTGTGCTGAAAAGTGGAACAATTTGCATATGAATAATGTTGGACTATAGGGATTGGTTTGGATCACAATAATAATAGCACTGGGAGTTCTGTGAAGGACCTTTATGATTAAGTCACTTGCTAATATGTTATGCACAAAACAATGAACTATTGTTCTATATTTGTAATGGAATATCGTGGTAAAAGATGAGTGAAAGCTAAAGGGATTAAAGCACTGCACATCTTTTCTTTGTTTATTCAATAACCACTTCAAATCCGGACACTATTACCCCCTTCCTGTCCAGGCCAATTTTCAGCTTTCAGTGCTATCGCATTTTGAATGACAATTGCGCGGTCATGCAACACTGTACCCATATGAATTTTTTAGCATTTTTTTTGAGACAGATAAAGCTTTATTTTAGTAGTATTTATTCACCACTGGGATTTTTATTTTTTTTGCTATGTAAATGAAAAGGTCCAAAAATTTTTTAAAAAAGTGTTTTCTTATAAATTTTTTTTTACACATACTGTCACCCTAGCAGTACAGTGTCACCATGGTGACACTGTACTACTTGTGGGGGGTGATGAAGATTTTTTTTTTTTACACGGACTGCTTTTACACCCATAAAGGCTGTAAAAGCAATCATTTCTCCTTCTCTCTGGCTGCATTCTTGCAGCCATTGAGAACTACTGTGTGAGCTGTGATTGGTCACAGCTTGTCACATGGTACAAGGCTGTTGTACCATGTGACCTCTGTGATCATTCATAGATTTCACACGTAGTAAGCAATGATGTCAGAAGTGACATCTTGCTTACTACTCTGCATGTGATCACTGATTGGCCAATCAGTGATCACATGATCGGGACCTCGCACAGAGGTCCCGTACGACGATCGGTGTTCCACTGTGCCTGTAGGTGCACAAGCAGGGGGCGGGGAGGCCGTTTATAAACGGCCACCCAACCCTGCACTGCCACCGTCCAGCCGTTTATATACAGCAGCTGCACGGGAGGTGGTTAAGAAGCAACTTGTTCACAAGCGGCAGCTGGCCAGTCACATGGTGAGGCGAGTGTGCCAGTAGATTATAGGGAAAGGAGGGAGGTGTGCAACATGTTTTTCCTCTAAATATCAGTCTTCCTTCTTCAAAACTCTTCGAGTTCCCATCCAACTTCTCCCTGCATTCTACGAGCAGCCAGTCCGTAGTCAATGCCTTCCTAAAGCAGGCCATGCATGATGCGATATTCTTTCCTGCAAACATGGGTTGCAGGAAAGAAAAATCGCTTTATTTCCCCATCAGCACAGTCCACTGAGCTATTGTGTTTTCCCAGCAGGGCGAGCCTCCCCCACTGGGAGAACACAGTGATTACTGATAGCTGCTCTAATAGCTGCTAGCAATAGTTGCATGTAAAATATGACATGCTGGTTGTACCCAAGACATACAGCAATGGACAAAGCCTGCTCATAGATGGTTTGAATCTTGGCCGGTTCCTGCTGAACTGGCTGAGACTCGAACCATCTATGTCTGGCTTAAGGAACCACTGAGAGTTACCTGAACCTCTATTCAAATTTATGGAAATTCCTCCTAACTACAAACCCTGCTGTCAGACATTTTGTGAAAGAACTTGACCTCCTCAAACTTTTTTACATCCTGTCTTCACACTGCACCTGATTAAAAAGGGCTCTTGCTTCATGCTAAAGCCTTGTACACACAGACTTTAAAAGGGGTGCTCCACATGAATGCATCTTGGACACTGAGCTGGTAAAAGAGTACTGAGGCAAAATCCCACAAAAGTGGCTCAGTGATCTCTGCACTCACATTTTAAACACATACTTTGGTGAGGTATGCACAGCTGCATTTTTCTCCTCTGAGTGCTCAAGAGTGCCCCTAAATTTTTTCAAACCTTGGGTTGTCAGCTAGATTAATTATATTATAATTTGATAGAGGTGAACTACCCCAGGAAAAAAAATTATCCACACTTATGCTGCACAAGAATGTAGCAGCAAATATGACTGTATTGACTATTGGAGTAGTGCTGACTCGTAGTTTGTTTTTTTTTTTTTTTAAGTTTAGCTATGGGTGAGATTCATCCAGGCCAGAAAAATAACATTTGCCCTACTTCTTAGGGCTGCTTGGCAAGATAATGCCAACCGATTTGCGTATTGTTTAGGGTGCTATGAACAATGCAAGTATTTGTTTGGAAAATGGATAGTGGCTGTAAATGTTTTCCAGTACACTGTAAAACGTTTTGACTGACCTTAAGTTTCTGATCAGTCACATTTTGCAATGTAATTGTCATAACTAATGCTTGAACCAGTCCTTGTTTTTAATTTGACCACGTGTGAAGAAGCCTAAAGAGCAAACATTATATGAGAGCCAAACGTTGCTACTTTTATAGCATTTGCTGGGCTCAATCCTTTATAGTTTTTCTATATTTAAACTGCTGCAAGCAATAAATGTGCAGCGCTTAAATCACCAAACCCCTTCTCAGCAGCTAGCCAAGCTAAGGTGGAGAGGTGACAACTTTCGCTCAGAGGAATTGGATGTTCTTTGCAGATAATCAAATTAGCATTTCACAAGACAATTTCTTACTGCCAGCAACCCTGCTGCACTCATCCATTCATCTGCTCAACTGAGCAGTTAACTGTAGTTTTCATACCTCTATTAATACTATTTTCCAGCCCTCTCTCACAAGATGTCCAAATTAGCTTTCATACACTTAAGTTGTCACTCAGCTAATGTATTCTAGACAACAAGAGAGATGTAGCTTTTTGACAATATGAGTTTTCACAGCAGGAACTCTTGTCTATTAAAAGGAAATTCTGGAGGAAGATTATTATTAATAGGAAAATTGACTTGAAACATCAGCTCTACTTACAAGTTAGGAGTGAAACTTTCATCTGTGTGAATGATTGAATCTGCCACCATTTCTTCATCTGACGTGGCCTTCCACAGAGCTGCCAACTCTGCCCTCATGTAGCGTCTCTGGTTGTAGGCATGTTCGTGACACGGAGGCATCTGTTTGACTGTGTTTACATCTACGTCAATGTGAGTTGCAGGGTAAGGAGCATACATCACCTGCCGGAATGGAAGCACAAAGCTTCCAGTTGCGTCCTAAAAAATTTGCAAAAATTGTATTATACATTCACAGCTACTTAAAGAGAACCCTACAAAAAAAAACCTCAATAATGGTGTGAAATGAGCTTAGGAAATGTGATAATATGCCAACTGCCCAGATTAAAATGGCTGTATTTAAGACTTTTGAATGAGCTAGCTAAAGAGTCAAATTACCCATAAACTGGAGTCTCACACTGTTTTTTTTAGGGACAGAGGGAGAAAAAAGTTGACACTTTGAAAAGTTGATTTTTTAAAAAACATTTGGTTAGAGCTGGAAGGGATTAGCTGGTATATATAATAACTGTTGATCTTGCTAGAAATACAGTGCCCTTGTCACTTTCTTTGGACATGAACAAAGGCAGATATTTTGAAGTTCAGCCTGTGCAACAAACATGGCTGCCTTCATACTGTGCTTTGAAAAAGTATTTATACCCCTTGAAATTTTCCACGTTTTGTCATGTTACAACCAAAAACGTAAATGTATTTTATTGGGATTTTAGGTGATAGACCAACACAAAGTGGCACATACATTGTGAAGTGGAAGGAAAATGATAAATGGTTTTCAAAATTTAAAAAGGTTTAAAATTTTAAAAACTACAAATAAATATCTGAAAAGTGTAGCGTGCATTTGTATTCAGCCCCCAAGTCAATACTTTGTAGAACCACCTTTCGCTATAATTACAGCTGCAAGTCTTTTTGGGTATGTCTCTACCAGCTTTGCACATCTAGAGAGAGTGACACTTTTGCCCATTCTTCTTTGAAAAATAGTTCGAGCTCTGTCAGATTGGATGGAGAGCGTCTGTGAACAGCAATTTTCAAGTCTTGCCACAGATTCTCAATTGGATTAAAGTCTGGACTTTGACTAGGCTATTCTACCACATGAATATGCTTTGATTTAAACCATTCTATTGTAGCTCTGGTTGTATGTTTAGGGTAGTTGTCCAGCTGGAAGGTGAACCTCCACCCCAGTCTCAAGTCTTTTGCAGACTCTTAACAGGTTTTCTTCTAAGATTGCCCTGTATTTGGCTCCTTCCATCTTCCCATCAACTCTGACCAGCTCAACTGTCCCTGCTGAATAAAAGAATCCCTACAAGATGATGCTGCCACCACCATGTTTCACGGTGGAGATGGTGTGTTCAGGGTGATGTGCAGTGTTTTCCACCACACACTTTTAGGCCTTCTTCATCAGAGCTGCGTTTGGCAGATAGGAACTTCAGCATGGCAGATTTCCCATGGCAAGGAGATATTCAGCCACTGAGTGTCAGTATTACAGCAGTTCAGCCTGTTTAGTCACTATACTGCCATACTGAAGTTTCTATCTGCCAAACCCAGCTCTGATGAAGAAGGGAGTACCCTTCGAAACGCGTTAACCTTCACCCCCCCCTTTTTGATTTACCTGTAACCCTGTTTGGATTATGGTTACTTATGCCTGTTATACAATCATTTTGTGAGTATATTTCCTTATTAATAAAATTAGTCACTATTTATTGAGGTAATGCGCAAGGTTTGTGCGCTCTTTCTTTCATCTTCCTCTCTACTAGATTTTAGTTAGGGGTATCAGAGTAAAGGGGGCTGAATACAAATGCACACCACACTTTTCAGATATTTAATTGAAAACATTTTCCTTCCACTTCACAATTATATGCCATTTTGTGTTGGTCTATCACATAAAATTCCAATAAAATACATTTACGTTTTTGGCTGTAAAATTTCAAGGGGTATAAATACTTTGTCAAGGCACTGAAGGTGCAGTGGAAACGTTAGTGTAACCACCTTGGAAAAATAATTGCCTTTTCCTGCTTCTAGCTCTCCACCGCATGTTCAACTGGAATGGCAGTTCTGGGGGATAAGTAAAGGACCCAAAGACCTGGTGAAAGATCCATCACAGAAAGCACATGGCCATAATATTGCAGCTTCACCACATAGCAAGGCTGAGCTAGGATCTTCACAGCTATTCCCTGAAGCTACCGACACGTCTTCCTTGGACATCTTGCAGCACTTTCCAGGCGACCCAACTAGTACTGCCAGAGATATAGCCCTGCTGGTTAAATCCTGTACCATGCTTCAAACCAAGTCTAATATAGCCATTGATAAGCGGACAACCATTCTCACCTACAAAATCTGAAAGAACGGTACACGCATCAACAATGTCAAACACATAACAGGTTCACAAAAAAGAAAAAAAGCTGGACATGGTGATAAAGACATCTCCATTCCTAAATTAGAAATCACATGGATGATTTACTCTGTTCCCAATAAAATATATCGCAGTCACTGGTTGAATGCCGGCTTCTATTTTACAGTTGTTCATTCACGGGTTGTAGAAGTAACAGCTGAAGCACCAATCTTCCTCAAGGACCACCTGAGTTGAGTAGGGTGAGTTAGTTTTTTCCATTGCTAAATTAGAGGACTTTAAAAACTGAGCCAGGAACCAAAACCTGCATGTCAGAGTGCATCCTGGTTGTCGACCTTAAAAAGTAATACTAATGCTTCATTTTTTCACTAAAATAGAAAAAGAGGTTTATACTTACCTGCTCTGTGCAATAATGATGTGAACCTCCTGCGCTGCTAAAAAAATATATATAGTCACATGATATTGTGACGCAACGCGTCGGCCTGACGTGGCGACGCACTTCCGGCGTGGTGGCCATCTTGGTGCACCTTTTTTGATTCCTGTACACCCATGCAGATTACACCCAAAAGCATAGGGTTGTAAAGCTGTCATCTTTGAGGACAGATGTGAGTCGTCTCCATATGTCTATGGTTTGTTTTTTCCATTAAATTTACCTGCTACACTATGGGAGATTGTGTTTATTTTTTTATGGCACATACCCATATCCCATAAGAGGAGCCACTGTTTGATTATCGACCCCTAAGAGAAGGATATCTATGGATGGGGAAAGTGGATCAGTGGATATCAGTTGATGCTGAGAGGATTTGAGGGTTTGATCCCACTATACGCTTTGACCTTCACGGGTCGAAGCCTGGAGGTGAGAGGCTAATCTAGCCGTGTGTTGGAGTTTCTGCACCTGGAGTCACTTTATGATCACGTGTGCTTGCAATTGCAGTAGTGGTGTCACCCACCCATTGGACATTTGCCTACACATTTTTTATTTTTCATTAGGGTTTTTAGTGTGATATTTTTTGCACCTTATTTGCATGATTGATCACAGTCTAATTATTATTATTGTCTATTGCTTTCATGTGTTAGAAATTGTCACAATTATTGTTACTACACAGTATTTATACATTATATTTTTTCTGATATTAGTTTATTATGTATTTTTGATCACTATGACCACTTGATTATTATTATATATATATTTTACTTCACAAGGTGTATTATATTTGTTATATATATTTTTTATATATATTTTAAAATAATTTTTTGATTTTTATGAGTAGCGCCACATTTTTTGATTTTTATTTCTGCTCTGTGCAATACCATTGCACAAAGCGGTCCCCTTCTGTCACTCTCCACTTCTACTCTTCTCTTGACAGAAAATGACCAACAAAAGCATAAAGTTTACTTAAAATAGTCATAAAATATGACTCTTTCACAAAGAATACAATAAGTTTTCATGTATACAATTATCCTGCTTAAGGCACAAAGGATCAACACATTTTGCAATTCACCCACTTCCTCAGGATCCAAGCCTAGTGTATACAAGTAAGATGATCAATCTCATTCATAACGTAGACAAAATTATGTGACCAGGTAGTACCAACTGTATGTAATCTTGAAAATCACTACTAAATGGGGGATAGAGAAAGGTCCTCCAAAGCCATATGGTTTTTACAGCCAGCCAAATCATCTATCTCTTAAGGGACTCCCATCCGCTTACCACCTACTCTGGTGCAAAATGGAAGCCTCAAATACGATAAAGCCCCAAAAATATTCTTGTAATAACCAGCTTCTGAATTAATCGAGGTCACTCATATGATTCCTCCAGGAAAAGAACATGCAGTCTGTTAGTATCAAGAGAGCACCACAACCTTTTATTAATGCGTTTGCAAATGACTCGCTTCCTCAGGATCCACGCCGCGCATATACATGTAAGATGATCAATTTATACAAGGTAGATATCTTATATGTAGATATACCAGCACATTTTTACCATGTTTTGCGATTGGCTAGCTTCCAAATACTAACTTACAAAGATATTTTAGGGGCTTTATCGCATTTGAGGCCATTTGTGCCAGAGCAGATGGAAAGTAGATGGGAGTACCTTTAAGACAAATACTTTGGCTGGCTGTTGACACCATACGGCCTAGGAAGACTTCTGTCTCTATCCCCCATTCATTGGTACCGCCTTGTCATATAATTTTGTCCACATTATGAACAAGACTGATCATCTTACATGTATGTGCTAAATATGGATCCTGTGGAAGAGCGTAGATCCTTTATGCATGAAAAAATATGACCAATCCTGTATGACAGAACACAATATTTTATGATGATTTTAAGTAAACGTTATACTTTTATTGGTAATTTTCCGTAATAAAGATATTACTTTTTATTTAAAAAAATGTATTGTATTTTCGTTGAAAGTCCCGTATATATTTCTTTCATCTGACAGATGTTGGGTTGAAAGATGACGTGATTTTCAGTGAATATACACAACATCAACAAACATGGATACAAGAAAATTTTTGTGTCTTCGTGGTGCTGATCGTACAATTATTTATTGTTTTATTGTCAACTATTACCTTACGTACAATTTGCCTGTTATATATTACTTGTTACGCAATCACAAGTAAATGTATACTGTAACAGATTTTTTTTTTCTGCAATGGTTTCAATTGGAGAAAACTAATAAAATATTGAGAAAAAAAAAATTAAACAGGAAGAGCGGAACACCTTTGTTATGGCCTCCACATCGGGCAGGCTCTGAAAACTCAGATGCAGACCAGTGGTGCAATCCCTCAGAGATAATAGAAACAAGTGAATGATTACATTTGCTGTCATCCAACTGAACCAGAAATCTGAGTTTGGGAAGGACAGCCCCTTTCATATCTTACTGAACATAATCATACTTCTGGTAAGAATCCTATAAACCATAATCTAGTGACCTCTTACAAAAAATAACATGGAGAGCAACTCTGCAAAACAGGAACATAATATAATTTGTGTCTCTGAACTTGAACTTTTGAGCTATCAGCAGATAAAAAGCCAGCAGATGTGAGAGATCAATGAATGACAACAGCACAAATCATGCCCCTTTGAAACAGTTATCCCTTCATATACTGACCTTCAGCAGGCCTTGCACAAAGAAGCCAGATTCATACTTGAAGGATGATTCAGACCTGCACAACCTGGAGCATTTACGCTCTGCAGGAGAAAGAAAAAGGCACAGCGTCCGCACCATCTGTAAGACAGAATAAAAATGAAAGGTAATGCGTAATGCATGAAAATATGCATATCTGTAATGTTTAAAAACAAAAAAAAAACTTTATGTAATATTCATGAAATAGAACATGACAGCTCTTCATTAAGGAAAAAAAGGAAAGAAAATAATACGGCAGCAGGTGGGCTATATTGCAGATGGGAACCGCACTGTAACCAAAGTCAGGTTTTGACATGAATATTAATTAGGAACCCAATGCCATTTTACTGAAAGCCTAAACAAAATGATAAAAAACAAGCAAGAATCCTTAAAGGATATTTCCTGTTTAAACAAGCATGTTTGACCCTTGCCTTACTGACACATGAAAAGGTGAACTCTCCCACACATCAGCAAGCACACCCCTTCCCTACACACTTATTACTCAACTCTGACTGCTTTGAAGTAGAACTATACTGTAGGCAAAGCTTTTTTTTTTCCATTTTGGATAGAGTAGGGGAGGGTTATAACCCGTCAGATCTTTTATTGCCTTCTGTGTCCCCTTGTGGAGATTTCCCTTTCACTGTCCCATAGCCAAAACAGGAAGTGAGAGGGAATCCCTGCAAATTAAGGACATTTCTTGGGGACCCCCAGGTCACCAGAACTGGTGAAATGGTGAAACCCCCAGGTCACCAGAACCCAAAATGTGAGATTTTTTTTTCCAACTTTAACTTTCAATAATAATAGTAAACAGGAAAAAAAGAGGGTGAATCTCCCTAATGGGAGCACAGACAGCAAAAAAAGCTGACACATTCTAAGCCTGCTTTATCTAAAACAAAAAAAAAAAAAAGGTTTTGCCTTTAGGGCTGCTATAAAACAAGTATAAGCCTTCTAGCTGTTTACTTATTTAAATGAGAAAATTAGGTCAAATTGAATGAACATAAATATATATTGTGAAATTTAATTTTAAAGTATTTCCCTTACAATGACCAATTGTGGAATACTTGCAAAAAAAAAAAAAACCAAAGCAACAAACAAAAAAAAAAAACTCCATGTTTTAATGAACTTTAGAATGTTCATTTGCACCAAGCTGGGGACTTCATTTCCAGCTCTGGGAATAAACCTGAGTCAGGCTAAACACTGCTCAGCCATTTACAAGACACTTTATTTATTTCAGGTACTTATATAGCGCCGTCAATTTACGCAGCACTTTACATATATATATTGTACATTCACATCAGTCCCTAACCCTCAAGGGGTGTACAATCTAAGGTCCCTAACTTACATTCATACATACACATACTAGGGCCAATTTAGACAGGACCCAATTAACCTACCAGCATGTCTTTGGAGTGTGGGAGGAAACCGGAGTTCCCGGAAGAAACCCACGCAGGCAGGCACAGGGAGAACATGCAAACTCCAGGCAGGTGGTGCCGTGGCTGGGATTCGAACCAACGACCCCAGTACTGCCAGGCGCAAGTGCTAACCATTTAGCCACTTTGAGGTGAATTTACTAAAACTGGAGTTTCAGTAAATCAGCCCCTTTGCATTTTATGAATGAGTACAAGGTTTTTATCTGAATGCTGAGGTGAAGATTGTGACATCATCCTCCCATCTCAGTCAAAGGAACATTTCATTTATACACTGATGCAGCCCTGTGTGCGCAGTGATTTATTTCAGGTACTTATATAGCGCCGTCAATTTACTCAGCACTATACATATATATAGTACATTCACATCAGTCCCTAACCCTCAAGGGGCGTACAATCTAAGGTCCCTAACTTACATTCATACATACACATACTAGGGCCAATTTAGACAGGAGCCAATTAACCTACCAGCATGTCTTTGGACTGTAGGAGGAAACTGGAGTACCTAGAGGAAACCCACGCAGGCACAGGGAGAACATGCAGACTCCAGGCAGGTGGTGCCTTGGTTGGGATTTGAACCAATGACCCTTGTACTGCCAGGCGGAAGTGGTAACTATTTAGCCACTGTGCTGCCCTGTGTGCGCAGTGATATACTATAGTAGCAACAGCTACATACAGTAAGCAGTGCTGTGTCAAAAGCAAAAGGAGCGACTTCTCATCTACTGCCAGAACCAAAGTCAGGCAAGCCTGACAAATAGCACAAGAAAACAACCGTAAGAACAGGCTGTGAAAGAACGGTTCTAGATAAACCCAGGCAGAGTAGTTCAATGCACAAAAAATCCTTTATTACAAATCTTACAAAAAGGTGAAACCTTGCAAAGTGAAGAAACACACACTACACAAACAAAAATTAGCAATCTGGATTGCAATATCAACAGGCTGTCAATAATTATGTGATGTAAATTGCCAATCACCACGGGTATGCTCTAATCAATATAAAAGAATACATAACCCTGTAAGGGAGTCAAAAGGTAATACAGCAGGTAGTTATATACGAAAGGCAAAAATTGACTGCTGACATAAAAATGACTATATTGAAGAAAACATTTTAGTAGGAGTCTGAGTGACAGAGGTTCCAGTCATCCTATGAGTAGGAAATACTAAGGATCATATCAATCAACCCAGTGTCCATATGGGTAAATCATTAAAGTCTGAAATGATGTTAAAGGACAGTCATTATCTAGCCAGCATTTGCTAAAGATCAGGGACTGCAGGAAAATAGATGACTGTTCCAGCAAAGCAGAAGTTGTCAACAGAATTAGGCTTCAGATGATATAAGGGTGTGAGCAGAACAGCATATTGGAAATATAGAAAAAGCTCCAGTTGAAATAGTACGTTGTGAGACCGTAATTTGCATCACTCACCAACAGTGTATCCAGCCCTTCATAACTTGGTGGTGGGTGTTTGATCTTGAATGTGTCTTCGTACATTTCTCACTGCTATACTGTTCCCCATACAGGCCTTACAGTCGCCCCTGGAATTACTTCTGTGCAGGGAAAGGTGTATTGTAGAGCTGTGTAGGGCATCACATATGTGTCTTCAAGTCCGATCTAAGATGCTCACATGTCTGTGAGGATGCCAGTGGACATTGCTTCTGGGTGTGATGACGTCATTACGTTGACGCATTTCATCCGCCAATCACCGCAGACTTCGTCAGAAGCCTGACAAATCCCATTCTGGAGAAGCCTTGTATTTTTGTCAATGAATACAAGGCTTCCCGTGACTGGCAGAGGTGGAAATCATGACGTAATCTACCCACCTCCTCGCTTTGGCCAATTAGTGGAATCTTTGTATTCACTGATAACAATATAAGGCTTAACCTGAACGGTGACGAAGCGCTCAGGCCGGCTCTATTTAATTCCAACAGTGGACGGGAAGTCACCCATAATGCTACGGAACACAGCAGCACTTACTGTATGTACTGTAGCTTATGATACTACAGTACAACACAGAGCACACAGTGGCTGGATCCATGTGTAAATGAAATACTGTATTTGCTCTGATTGGCTGAGTTGGGATTATGATGTCACAATCATTACCTCAGCCATTCAGATGAAGCCCTGCATTCATTCATAAAATACAAAGTTTCCTGTGAATGGCTCAGCAGTGCTACTGCAGTACATTGCAGCACACACAGCAACGACATCACTGTAAAACTGAAAAAAAAAAAAAACCCCTTTATTTCAATTGTAAATTACTTTCAATGTTTTGTACCAGAATCACAATTGTATGGTGAAAAACATGCAGGCTCGATCTCACTCCATCACCAATGGATTTGATTGACAGCAGCAGGAGTCAATGGCTCCTGCTGTCCTCAGGTACAGCCCTGGATTGAGATCAGGCTCACGTAAGTATTTGGGGGGACTGGAGAAGCACTTACATGCAGAGAATGCATTAAGGTAAAAAACCTTCAGCCTTCACAACCACTTTAATCGCTTCCTCTCCGCCCTATAGCAATAATACTGCTACAGGGCGGCACGGGTGCGCAAAATCACATATACATGATTTTGCATCTCCGGGTAGAGGGTGCATGCGAGCCATGTGCGCACCCTACCCGTGCTGCTATTCACGGCCTCGGCTGTCAATCACCAGGTCCCGACCAGTGATTATTCACCGGCATCCGGCGAACGAGGAGGATTACCGACGGAGGGAGAAAACTGTAAGTAAACAATACAGTTCTCTTTCCTGTCAGCTCCTGCATACTGCTATGCATGGCTTTGCATAGCAGAGCCATGCATAGCAGTGTGCTTACAGTGAAGCACGCACACACAGCACACAGTTAACCCTCTGATAGACCCACGTGTTAACCCCTTCCTGCCCAGTGCCATTAGTACAGTGTCAGTGTTCTGTATTAGCACTGATCACTGTATTGGTGTCACTGGGGATGTCAGTGACACCAAGTCAGTTCCCCCCAGTGTCAGAATGCCAGCCGCAGTCTCGCTATAAGTTGCTGATCATCACCATTACTAGTAAAAATTAAAAAAAAAAAAAAACCCAGTATATACACCGCCATTTGTAAACACTATAACTTTCACGTAAACCAATTAAATTACATGTATTTGGATCTTTTTTGGCAAAGACATGTAGCAGAATACATTTTGGCCTAAATTTATGAAGAAATTAGATTTTTTTACTGGACATGTTTAATAGCAAAAAGTCAAAAATATTGTTTCTTTCTCTTGTCGGTCTTTTTTTTTTATAGCGCAAAAAATAAAAAAAACGCACAGGCGATCAAATACCACCGAAACAAAGCTCTATTCATGGGAAAAAAGGATGTAAATTTCATTTGGGTGCAGCATTGCATGACCGCGCAATTGTCAGTTAAAGTAACGCAGCGCCGTAACACCACAAAAAAAATGGCCTGGTCAGGAAGGGGGGTAAATCCTCTGAAGGGCAAGTGGTTAAGTTATGTTTTTTTTCTGTCATCTTACTGCACACTGCAAGGGCTAACAAACATTTATATCTCGGGGGACAAGGCAAAGGAGATCTACTTGACTGATCTTCCACTCCCGTAGGCCTTTTCATGATGAAAGACTGGTCTCTGCAGCCTCTATACCCCCTGCACTTCTGTAGCTGCATGCCTCTGACATCATTAAGATGAATGCAGGGACAACA